TTTTCTTATTGTGCAGACCTGAGCTTATTTATTTCTCTTTTGGTTTTGTTGGAAGCAGACTTCTCGAGTAGACTTCTCGAGCAGACTTCAGTCACATAAATCTATTTCAGATATTTTTTTTATATGCCAATTTTAAGATCTATAATTAGTGATCCTTAAATATTTGTTTGTTTAGAATGTCTACTTTATATGTAAAGTTGGATTGCCATGAATATTATTTATTAAATTCTTAAATTATGTGTGTTTTATCATATTCAGATTTCATATGTAGACTTCTTTGTCAAACTTTATATGTGACTTCTCGATTAGACTTCTCTAGTAGACTTCGCAAGTATACTTATATTACATAACATATGATCATCACCAAACTTCTTTCTTGACATCTTACTTAGTCATCACCATCTTAGAACCTCTAATAACACAAAAAAATTAATTCAGTTTTAACTGTACAAAAAACATGTAAAACTACTTAGAAATACCACAACTAGTATTTCTTCACACATTATTTATAAACAGTGGGTATGTGAACCATTCTCTGTAAGAAAAAAAAAAAATTCAAACCACATTAGAAATCATTGTCGAAAAAGTATACTGCAAACGAAGTCTACTATGTAGACTTCAAATAAAGTCTGCGGACTATTAAGCTAACTACCAAATAAAAGAAAAAAATTAATTAAAGCTAAACTGTAACAAAAAATAAATTTAAACTCATACATAAGCAAGAATAATAAATATCACATACTTAAGAGTCAAATAATAAATTTTATTTGTTACAAATATTTGATCAATTAACTTTATAAAAAATTAATGTCGCAGACTTCAAGTGAAGTCTACGCACTAATAAGCTAAATACTAAATAGAACAAGAAAATTAGTTAAAGCTAAACTATAACAAATAAACATGTCAAATTCTTACATAAGTAAGAACAATAAATAACACACACTTAAGAGTCAAAGAATAAATTTTATTTATTACAAATATCTGATCAATTAATTTAATAAAAAAATTAATGTCGCAGACTCCAAACAAAGTCTACGGACTAATAAGCTAAATATAATTTGATTTCACCAAATATATATAATATAAACATGTAAAACTGATACACTTGTAAGTACACTTACCAAAACAATCGTAGGACCAAAAAAATCTTAAAAATTCATTGTAAATTTGATAAAAACGCGTTTATAAAAAAGTGAAATAGTAGACTAACAACGAAGTTTACAAAAGTAGAGTAGCAACGAAGTCTACAAATGTAGACTTACAAATGAAGTCTATATTTTAGGTTACTTTTGCAATTGCCAAAAGATGAGTAGACTTCTTCAAAGAAGTCTACTTACTCCGAGAAGTCTACTCGAGAAGTCTACGTAAAAAAAGGTTAGTTTTGCAATTGACCAAACTTTGACTTTTTCGTAAGAAGTCTACTCGCAAAAATAGACTTCTTAGAGGTTAGTTTTGTAATTGACCAATGCTGACTTTTGAAAGTAGACTTCAAACGAAGTCTACTTAGGTTAGTTTTGGGGTTGACTAAACATTGAATTAATTTTTGAGTAGACTTTGTTTGATGTCTACTCAGAAAGTAGACTTCAAACGAAGTCTACTCGGAAAAGCCACTACAAGAAAAAAATGTATATTACATCATTTATTAAGTGTTATTAAAATAACTGATTCTATTTAGAATCACTAATTAAAAATTGACACTATATATAAATTTTTACATTAGTTTTTTAATTGATATTAATCTTAACATGACAAGTATCAATTAAAAATAATTGATACTAATACTAACTTGATTAACATCAATAAAAAAATTGATACAAATCATTACTAATTTATATCACTTTTAAAACCACCACAAATATATAAGTTTACATCAATCATATAAGTGAAGCATTTAATCAACTGGCATTAACATCAATAATAAATAATAAATGATGATAATACTTCTTTCATTTATAAAAGTGATGCAAATAAAATTTCTGCTAAACAACTATTTTTCCCACATCGCTAAGAATGATGAAGAGTACTAGTTTCTTCCTCTATAAAAAAAATTCATCAACACTAAGTTTTTATGTTAAATCATATATATGTATTTATATTCATTTCTTTGAATAATAAATATAAAATTATTGATTATCTTAAATTTATAATATTATAAAAATTAACACAAAAATTTAAATCAAAACAAATTTTAATATCTCTGAATTTTAATATATAATATCCTTTATTATAAGTGATAGTAAATATTAATATCATTTATTTTAAGTGATGTAAATATTAATATCATTTATTTTAAGTGATGTAAATATTAGTATCACTTATTCCAAATGATATGTTAATATCAATTAATATAATTGACGAAAATAGTTGCATCATAAATAATATTGATATAAATGATTATCATTACCACTTTTGGAGTCATTTAATTAAATGATGCAACTGAATTTGCATCAATCAAAAAATAATATTAACAAATAAAATAAATGATACAACACACATGATTTCTTATAGTGAGTAGACTTCAAGCGAAGTCTACTCGCAAAAGTCAACCTTGGTCAATTGCAAAACTAACCTCTGAGAAATCTACTTTTGCGAGTAGACTTCTTACGAAAAAGTCAAAAGTTGGTCAATTGCAAAACTAACCCCTTTTTACGTAGACTTCTTTTGAAGTTTACACTATTTTTTGTTGTCAACGGAAATGGCGCAGACTTCAATTGAAGTCTACTATCATAAACTGGTACACACGCTCAACCGCAAAACTAACATGTGTGTTGATCAGCAGATCTGAAAACTTACGAAAACTCACGAAAATTGACTGAAAAATCACCTACCAGTGGTATTTAGCTTCTTCAACCATCGATTTCTTTGATTCCAGCCACCACCAAACAAGCCCAATCGATCTGCCAGACCAAATCACCAAATATGACAATATATTAGAACATCAAGTTTCAAAAACTTAGATTAGAGAGTTTTTGTGCTGAAAATGGTGAAAAAATGGAAGAGTAGAAGGTTAAGAGAAGAGAAAATGAGGTTAAAAGCTAAAAAATGGGTCTTTGAAGCAATAAAAGTTTTGAATTAGTTGAAAATAGTGGTTGAGTGAATTGATGGTGATGACATTTTCGTAAATAAGTGAGGAAGATGAGGATTGTTTAGTAAAATAGATTTCTGAAATAATAATAAAAAATAATAATCTAATAACATTTTCGTGAATAAATAGAACTGATAAGGATAGAAGAAGTGAGAGAAAATGGTTAATTTCAAAAGTGGTAAAATGATAGCATATTTTAGCAATTGACTTTAATTTGTGAGTATTTTTGCAAGATTCCCAACAAACAATAAACAAACTGAAATCCAAGTGTACTAAAAAAAATAGTAATTGGTAGACGGATTTGTAATGATTATTAAAAATTAAAAAATTTACTGTTATTGGTAGATGTATTTAAACATTCTTACTAAAATCCATTGTTATTGGTATAAAGATTTTCAAATTATATACAAAATCCATTGTTATTCAAAAAGCTTGGTTTTTAATAATTCTATCAATCTATTTAAAATTTTGTTATTGGGACAAGATTGTTAACAATTTAACTAATTTAATAAAACTTTCAAAATACTATTTATATACCTTAGATTTTTAAAATTATTATAATAAATGATTTTTATTTTTTTCTCTAAATATTCATAACTCTTTTTAAACCTAACAAACTCTTTACAAATTTAACAAATCTCTCAATTTTTAAAATTATCAAACTCTATATAAATCACTCCCACAAACACCCCCTAAAATTTAAAGACAAAAAATGGTATACTAATAAACCAAATTTGCAAAGAGAAGCCCCCACATCAATCACCTTCTTTTTGCGGATGACATCATGTTCTTCTGTAGAACCAATGAAGCCTGCTGTCAAGAACTATCCCGTATCCTGGGGAAATATGAGCAAGTATCAGGGCAACGCATAAACCTGGACAAATCTACTATCACCTTCTCGAGCAAAACACCTCAAGAGCTCAAAGAAAGAGTGAAAAATTCGTTGGGGATAAGTAAGGAAGGAGGCTCGGGCAAATACCTAGGCTTACCCGAATCCTTTGGAAGACGAAAGAAGGATGTATTCTCAGGACTTGTGGACAGAATAAGACAAAGGTCCCATAGTTGGTCCACCCGCTTTCTCTCAGGTGCCGGGAAGCAGGTCCTCCTCCATGCAGTGCTCTCTGCACTACCAACCTACACGATGTCGTGTTTCCTGCTCCCTAAGTCCCTATGTAGACGCATCCAATCAATCTTAAGAAGATTCTTCTGGGACTCCTCCCCAGAGAAGCAGAAAATATCTTGGGTAGCCTGGACAAAATTAGCTCAACCAAAAAAAGCAGGGGGATTAGGCTTCAGGGAGATAGAGGGATTTAACGTGGCCCTGCTAGCAAAACAGAGCTGGAGAATCCTGAAGAACAAGGAAAGCTTACTTGCAAAAGTCCTGCTAGGAAAGTACTGTCAAGACCAAAGCTTCATGGAGGTTGAGTGCTCAGTGGGAGCCTCCCACGGCTGGAGAGGCATCTTAGAAGGAAGGAAAGTGCTCCGGAAAGGACTCGGGTGGGTAGTGGGCAGTGGAGAAAGCATCAATGTCTGGACTGAGCCATGGCTCTCAACAGATATCCCCCAAGCCCCCATGGGTCCGCCTACACGAAGCAATGCAAAGCTCACAGTAAAAGACCTATTACACCAAGACACAAACAGCTGGAACTTAGAAGCAATTCAAGCTCACTTACCTCATTATGAGGAAACCATAAGGCTGCTTATCCCAAGCTCGCGGAAACCCCCGGACTACCAAGTATGGCTACCTGCGAAGTCAGGAACATTCACAACAAAGTCAGGTTATAATCTCCAGAAATGCTTCAATCAAAGTAGTGATACAGAGTTTGACTGGTACCAGTTCATCTGGAATTTGCATACTGCACAGAAAATCAAACACTACCTCTGAAGGGTACTCAACAAAGCTCTACCAGTGGGAATGAACCTCCGCTGGCAGGGAATTAACGCAAATGCTTGCTGTGAAAGATGTGGAGAACAGGAGAATGTCTCCCACATTTGGTTTGATTGCCCTTACGCAAAGGAGATGTGGCGTACAACCTCTATCGTCTCCCCCCTGGCAGGTCTTTCTCCAGATGTAGACCCTAGAATCCTGCTCAGCTCCCTCTACAAATAAAAAAACCACCCGACATCACCATTACAGGAAGTACCCCTGTTCCCTTGGATCCTCTGGTATCTATGGACAAGCAGAAACAAGCTCACCTTCGAGGGTTCGGACTTTGCAGCGTCGGAATTGGTCTCCAAAGCCACTCAGGAAGCGACCCTCTGGCACTCAGCAAATACCTCCCCACCCCAGGTACCCTCGAAGACAAGACAGCCGGACTATCTCCCAATCCGGAATACCGCGGCGATTTGCCGCACAGACGGCGCATGGCAAGCGAACTCCCTGATAGGGGGCATGGGATGGACCATCTCAGGCTCAGGAGGCTCGGTGATCGCAAAAAGCTCAACGGCTCAACGATTTGTCTCCTCCGCCTTGGTAGCAGAAGCCCTGGCGGTCTTAGCAGCACTTCGGGAGGCAAACTCTATGGAGATTAGTGATCTCCACCTTCAATCGGACTCAGAAGTCCTTATCAATACCCTCTCTACGGGGGCGGATGTGACAGAGATCGCAGGTATTCTCTTCGACATCAGAAACCTTGCTCATCTCTTCTCTTCCCTTTCCTTCGGATACATTCCCGATCTGCAAATGTTGTAGCAGACGGGCTTGCAAAATCAGCCTTATCTTTAATCAGCCCAATGTGCTCCTTGCAGACTCTCTTTCTATTAATATCAACCCTTCAACCAAAAAAAAAAAAAAAAAAAAAAACCAAATTTGAATCTTTCTCGGTTAAGTTTTCAAACCAAATTTACAATTGGATTGGGATTAAATCGGTGGGATTTAGAACCCCAATTTCAATTTCTCTAGTTCGTCTTCTTCCTCTATTTTTTCGCCGATCGGACTTTGATATTTCATCTCTCAGCTCATTCACCGTAAAATGTCGATTTTTTACAAATTCAAATTTCGATTTACCGATAAAAACGAGCAAGTTGGCCTCGGCGGCTATAAAAACAACAAACTTCTTTCTTCTATATAAGCCAGTAGTTTCCAGTACAGTTTCACACATATTCTTTCTTCTATATAAGAAACAAGGGACTTGTTGTTTCCTCATGGCGGCTTCTTCTTCTTCCTCGTCTCACGTTCAGAGATACCATGTCTTTCCGAGCTTCCACGGCCCAGATGTCCGTAGAGGCTTCCTCAGTCATTTACACAAATACTTTACAATCAACAGGATCACCATCTTCAAGGATAAGAAGATCGAGAGAGGCCATACGATCGGATCTGAACTCGTGAAAGCCATTAGAGAAGCGACAGTGTCGATTGTGGTGCTCTCGAAGAACTACGCTTCTTCCAGCTGGTGCTTAGATGAACTGGTTGAAATTTTGAAGTGCAAAGAAGCTTTAGGGCAGATCGTGATGCCTGTTTTTTACGAAGTTGATCCTTCTGATGTTCGGAAACAGAGGGGAGATGTCGGAATCGCATTCCAGAAAAGCTGCCAAGGGAGAACAGAGGAATACAAGCAAAGATGGAGCAAAGCTTTGGCAGATGTAGCAATCATAGCAGGAGAACACTCTATTAACTGGTTTGTTACTTGTCTCTCTTTTGGCTCAATGAAACAGAATCCTTTTTTTATCTTTCTTAATACGTATGAAGCTGCTTCTGTCAGGACTGATGAAGCTGCGATGCTCGAAAAGCTTTCCACAGATGTCTCGAACAAACTGAAAGTGGAATTGCTCAAGGAACAATTTAGGAGTCTCGATGAAGACCAGAGTGGTTTCATATCTGTACCAGGGCTTCGATATGCGATGGAATCTATTGGAGAGAAAATAACCGATGATGAAGTTAAAGAAATGATCCGAGAAGTTGATCTTGATGGCGATGGTCGGCTCAACTATGATGAATTTGCCAAAGTCATGATGGCTAAGTGAGGGATTCTTAACCCTTCTTAGAAAGCCTTAACCTAAAAAGAAAGAAAAAAAAGAAACAAAAAAAGAAAAAAGATTTATCATGATTTAGAATGCTTTTGTCTTTCTTGATCGATGATTCAATATAGTGGAGTTTCTATAATCTAATACGATTTTCTTTGGCTAGGATGAGTGATGAAGAACGTGCGAGGGCCAAAAAGTTTGCCACAGGTGTTACACTGTCAAAGGAGGCAGAGGAAGAAATGAGAAAATTATTTATGTTTGGCGATATAGACAATGATGGTTTCATAACTGAAGCAGAGTTTCGATATGTGATGAAAAGTAAAGTAACCGATGATGCAGTTAAAAATCTCATCCGAGCAGCTGATGATGATGGCGATGGTCGGCTCAACTATGATGAATTCGTCAAAGTAATGATGAAGTGAGGGATTCTTAACCCTTCTTAATGAAAAGACTTCACCTGAAGAAAAAAGATTTAGAAGGCTTTTGTCTTGATCGATGATTCATTTCTATAATTTAATAAGAATTTTGTTTTTTTTAGGATGGTTGCCACGGTCAAAAATTTTGCCACAGATGTTACAATGTCAAAGGAGGAAGAGAAAGAAATTAGGAGATTATTTATGAATGGCGATCTAGACAATGATGGTTTCATAACTGCATCAGAGCTTCTATATGCAGCGACAAGAAATGGGGCCAACATAACCGAGGATGATGTTAAAAATGCCATCAAAGCAGCTGATATGGATGGCGATGGTCGGCTCAGCTATGATGATTTCGTCAAATACAAGATGGCTATGTGAGGGATTCTTACTATGAATTTTCATCACTTTTGTCTTTCTTATAATCGACGTGAAGTTTCAATAATCTAATAAGGATTTACTTTTTTTTCTTTTTTTAGGAAGATGATTGAAGAAGCTTCGATGGGCAAAAATTTGGTCACAAATGTTAAATTGTCAAGCGAGGATGAGAAATCACTGAGGCAATCCTTTGTGAGTTTAGATGAAGACGACGATGGTTTCATAACTGCAGCAGAGTTTCAAAGTGTGTTGAAAAAAACCGACGAGGATGCATATAAGATGGCTTGTCCTCTCATCAAAGAATATGATGTTGATGGCGATGGTCGGCTCAACTTTGATGAATTCGTCAAAGTCATATTGGCAACGTGAGGGATTCTTAACCCTTCTTATCATGTCTTACAGTGAAATCTCATCATGATTCAGAACCCTTTTGCCTTTCTTAATCGAAGATTCACTAGTTGAGTTTCTATAAGTTAACAAGATTTTGTTTTTTTCTTTTGATAGGAGGGCTAAAGCTGCGAGGGTCAAAGAAGTTACGGCAAATATCTCGCAAAAAGTTAATGGATTCGTCAATTTCGTGGTGAAAACCTTATTCTGAAGAAAAAAGAAAAATGATTTATCATGTGTTACAGTGAATTTTCATTTTTATCATCTTTAGCAATGTTTTTAATTCTTTCCTGTGGTTGCTTTGTTAAACCTCTATAGTGTTATGTCAAGTGTGAACTCATGTGTTTGCTCAACTTGTGACAATTTATTTTCTCTATTTGTTTTATTTGCTTCTTGTATATTTCTCTTGTATTTTCTTCAAAAAGAATGTTCCACAAATAAATGTACTGTATTGTTTGCTACCTTAACCTTTTGGTTAGCTTTTCGTACCTTTTTATGGAAGTGCAGAAAACAGATAACCAACAAATTGACTTTCCAACGAGACAACTCTCCACCGCTAGTGAATAAGTTTATCGATCGTCAGGTCAGGCTGAGCTGTAGCACCAAGTTCAATGCTTTGTTTTATTAATTAGAATTAACAATTTAATCAATCTAATTAAGTGTTACGCAACTTTAATTTTAGATTGCCTCCAAAAAATTTCTAGTCCTAAACACTCTTCACTAGATCACACAGCCCGTGTATTAGAGAAGATAATATTAACCTTCTTGCTTCATTTTTGCTCTGGAAGCTCAATGACGTTCTTGATGCTTGCGGCTCAAGGTATAAAGAACACACTTTGCCTGACTTTCTATTTAAACAAACTACCCAAAACCCTAAACATAGAATCTAGTGCGTATCTCGTTTTGTCGATATATTTGCGAATATACGCCAAGCTTCAACCGCGTCTATCTCAGAGATCCCATGTCAGCATACGCGCCCTCAGCCACATGCTCCCTGATATACCTCTTAAGTTGATGCCTTGTGCATCTTCAATCTCCCCCTTTTTGACATAGTTTGTCACTTCAGCACTCCTGTCATGCGTCCTGACATATGTCCTGCAAAACAGACATGCATACACACATAGTAAACCAAATGCAAGCCACAAGATAGAATACTAAAGAGGAGAGATTAAGCTTCTTAAAACACAGGCCAGACAATCCATGAGCGACTTATAAATACTCCAATGCGTTCATCAAAAACCAAAAAAAGTTCAAAAGAAAAATAGGCCTGAGTCTTAATCATAGTTTTAATCTAGAACACAAAAGCTAAGCTCACCTATCATGGTTGCTCCCCCACACTTGGAGTACCCTCCTCTGGTACATCTCCCCCTGTTTAAGTGCATTACTAAGTTAAAAAACTAAGCACCAGCATCGATCAAAGTAAGAGAGCAGGAGACTTACCTCGAAGAAGACGATTGATGATCAGCACAGCCTGACTAAGAACCAGTCGATCAGCCGAAAAGAGAGAGGTGCCCACTATAGATGAATGTCCTTCCTGTTTGGGTTTGGCTTTGACGGAGACAGGAGCTGTAGCGATACAAAATGGCTGAATCATCTCCAACCGACTGCCAAGATCAAGAGGAACATGAGGCTGTCGCTGCAAGAGCTTGTATATCAGACTAGGATACGGGAGAAAAAACATTGAGCCATGATTACGTCCAAGGCTGACAATGTGATCATAGACCATTAGTCCAAAAATCAAATGGAGTCTCTGTTGCCACGCGATGGACCATACGAGCATGAGCCTTGTTAGAGAACCAAGTATTGAAGGCGGGGAGCCAGTTGTGACCACTGATCTTGAAAAGAACCCAATTTTCACTCTGATACTGAGACATAGTCAGATTCTCCCACACACCGTACTTGCCACCACTCATGAAAATCGCGAGTTGATCATGAGAGAGAAGTTCAGCATCAATAGCAGTACTGGCAGTTGACATCTGCTCGAGCCCAAACATCTGATTAATTAGGGGGGGGGGTGGCGGGGGGGGGGGGGGGGGGGGGGGAGAAAACATACTCGTGACCACGCAGAACCATTCGCACCTTGCCAGCAGGAACCTTCTCATCAGGCAGATGAGCCCAGAACTCTCGAATGATCATCGGAGGAAAGCGACTGATCCCAGTGATAGTGGGAATCAGCCCTGTTTCTCGGATGATTGCTTCAACACCAGAGGGCAGGGTTTTAAGATCCACCTCTTGCTCAGCGAGGAAATTTTGGTTTAGGACTATATCAACCCGATCGCTGACCGGATGGGATGCGAATCGACTGATATCAAAAATCAAAGACAAAGAGGTTTTAGAGGGCCAGGTTTTCTTTCTGGGCTGTTCCACCAGATCTGGTTCTGATTTAAC